GAACCGGGACCGGGATCGGGGAACGGAACCGGCACCGGGGAACAGAACCGGGACCGGGGAACGGAACAGGGGAACAAAACTGGCACCAGGGAACAGAACCAGCACCGGGGAACGGAACCGGGACCGGGAACAGAACCGGAGAACAGAACCGAGACTGTGGAACAGAACCGGCACCAGGGAACAGAACCGGCACCGGGGAACAGAACCAGCACCGGGGAACAGAAACGGGGCCGGGGAACAGAACCGGCACCGGGGAACGGAACAGGGAACAGAACCAGCACCAGGGAACAGAACCGGCACCGGGGAACAGAACCGGGACCGGGAACAGAACTGGGACCAGGGTTTGAGTGCTGGGAACAGAACCGGGACCGGGTTTCGAGTGCTGGGAACAGAACCGGGACCAGGGTGTGACCAGCTCCCCCCCAAATCCACGGCATGGAGCTGCCAGAAGAAGGAGGGTGGCACCATTGTGTAGTCATGGAGTGGTTTGGGTTGGGAGGGACCTTAAAAGTCATCTCAGGAACACCTCCCGGCATCCCTGTAGGGATGGGGGGCGGAGCTGAAATGGCAGAAGCACGAAGCCCATGTTTTTTGGTAATTTATTAACTAGCAATAGGCTCCAAGGCTCTCGGAGGGCAGCCCGCAGCCCCGCTAGTCAATGTACCTCACTGTCACCAGGGGGCTGGCGAAGCGGACGTGGCGGCTGCGGCGGCGGCGCTGGACGCGCCGTGCCCACCAGCCCACCAGCAGCCCCCTGAGGGAGGAGCAGAGCTCCAGGAGGCCGCAGCCCGCCCCCCTGCCCCTCTCCTCGGGCTCCTGCTGCTGCTGCCGGGGCCTGGGCACCGACAGGGACGCCCTGCCCCGAGCAGCGCTGCCGGGCCTGCCCGGCCCCAGCGAGCTGATGCTGCTCCGCGGTGCCGTGGGGCTGCAGGTCTGCGCTTCTCCAGGGGGGACGAACCAGTCCGTGGCTGCCGAGCTGCTGCCCTGCCCCATCTCCAGGAATATGGCATTGCCTCGTTTCCTGCCCTTGACTCTGTCCTTTTTGGCCGCAGTGTCCATGCCCGCCTCGGGCCGCTCCTCTGCGGGGCCCTTGGGCGACTCCTTGCCCCCCAGCAGCCCCGGCTCCACGGGCACCTCAGGCTGGGCCGCCCTGCAGCCCCTCTGCATCCTCGGCCACTGGGGCAGCTGAGCCTCCAGCTCCTTGTGCTGCTCCTCCGAGAGCGCCTGCGAGGTTTGGGAGAGCCTTGGCTGAAAGTCTTGGGGCACCCCATGGCACCATCCCTGGAGCTCCAGGTCACCAGCACAGGCTGGTGGAGAGGCTCCCCAGAGACCTGCAGAATCCCAGTGAGGGAATCCAGTCCTGCTGGGGTGGCAGAGGCTGGGGCTGCTGTCTGCCAGGACACTGCCAGACTGTGGTGCCCAGAAGTTTGCTCCTGTGAGGCCCCTTTTATAGCCTGGCAGAGTCCCCTGTGTGACATCATGAGGCAGCCAGAGCCCTCTTTGTGACAGTGTGGGGCAGTCAGAAATCCCTTTGTGACAGTGTGGGGCAGCCAGAGCCCTCTGTGTGCCATCCTGGGGCAGCCAGAGCCCTCTCTGTGCCATCCTGGGGCAGTCAGAAATCCCTTTGTGACACCCAGGAGCCCAGGGGAGAGCCCTCACTGCCTTGGGTGCAGGGTTGTGAGAAAGAAACTTGTGAGATAATAGAAACAAATTACAAAAAAAAAAAAGAAAGGCAAAATGCAAACAAGAAAAGAGAAAGGAAGGAGTGATATGATGGGGGAGGGTCTCCTGGGCACAGCCACCACCAAAGGAGGAGTTTTGGATTCTCAGGGAAGCAGGGAGGGAGGCAGCAGGAATGGAGAGGGATGGCCTTTGGGAGAAGGGGCAGCAGAGCAGGAGGTGACAAGGATGTCCTGAAGTCCTGCAGTCCTGCAGGGAAGATGAGAATGGCCAAAGCCCTGCTAGAATTTAATGTGGCTACTACTGTAATAGACACTAAAACTTGTACAAATAATACCTTCGCTTTGGTTTGGTTTGCTTGGGGTATTTTTTTGTTTGGTTTTTTTTCACTGCTGAGAGGAAACATTGAGACAAAGAGTGAGGAAAACTCCGAGGTACCCAGGGATCAGGCCTGGAGAGTGTGGGTTGGGGGAGTCAGCTCCTGCCTGGGCAAGCTGCTCCCTTCCAGGCCGGGTGCCCGCCGGGCTGGGCAGGGCTGGGCAGGTGGCACTGCCGGGCCAGCCACGGCTGCTCCGCATGGACACGGGCACGGAGACGGGCATGGACACGGGCACAGGCAGGGGGACAGGCATGGAGACGGACATGGGCACGACATGGGCACAGGCATGGGCATGGCAGGGACACGGGCATGGACACTAGCACAGAGACGGGCACGGACATGGGCACAGACACGGGCACAGGCACGGGCACAGACACGGGCACGGGCGCGCCCCGTTCCCGCGGCTCCGCAGCGCGGGGGCAGCGGGGCTCAGCGGCGGCGGCAGCAGCAGGCAGGGAGGCGGCGGCTGCACCAGGCTGCCAGGCTCTCCCCGAGCCGGGCACGGAGCTTGCCCAGGGCCCAGCCCGGCTCCCGGCCCCGGCCCGCGGGCAGCGGCTGCGGCGGCGGCGGCGGCGGCGGCGGCGGCAGCACCGGGCCCCACCACGGGTCCGCGCTCAGCAGGCCGAACGTCAGCCCCAGCGAGCTGCTGCTGCTGCTGCTGCTGCTGCCCTCCGAGCCCGTCTCGGCCACCAGCACGTCCCTGGGGATGAACCAGGCCAGGGCCGGGCAGCCTCTGCCGCGCTCGGCCTCCGGGGCGCTGCTGCTGCCGCTGCCGCTGCCGCTGCCTGTGCCGCTGCCGCTGCCGCTGCCTGTGCCGCTGCCTCTGCCTGTGCCGCTGCCGCTGCCTCTGCCTGTGCCGCTGCCTCTGCCTGTGCCGCTGCCGCTGCCTCTGCCTGTGCCGCTGCCGCTGCCGCTGCCTCGCCCCGCGGCCCCGGCTCGCTCCGGTCCGGCCGCGCCGTCCGTGCCCGCCTCGGGCCGCTCCTCTGCGGGGCCCTGCGGGGACTCCTTTCCCCCCAGCAGCCCCGGCTCCACGGACACCTCGGGCTGGGCCGCCCCGCAGCCCCTCTGCACCCTCGGCCACTGGGGCAGCTGAGCCTCCAGCTCCTCGCGGTGCTCCTCGAAGAGCGCCTGCGAGTCCTGACAGCTCCGGATGAACCTTGGGAAACGCCTCCTGGAGCTCATGGAGCCGCGTGGGGAGCTGCCGTGGGGCAGCCCCAGCTGTGCTGATCTCCATGCCCTGCCCACGCTGCTCTGCCCCTCCAGCCGGCCTCTGGCTGCGCTCGGATGCTCTGAGCTCTGATGGATCCTCTGCAAGAACCACGGATGGGTGAGACAGGAGCAGCTCCCCAGAACGCTCCACACCGTCCTGCCACGCATGGCACACCACCAACACACCCCAAACCCACACGGCCCAGCCCAGCCCGGCCCAGCCCAGCCCAGCCCAGCCCGGCCCAGCCCAGCTCAGCCCGGCCCAGCCCAGCCCATCCCATCCCATCCCATCCCATCCCATTCCATCCCATCCCATCCCATCCCATCCCATCCCAGCCCAGCCCATCCCAGCCCAGCCCACACAGCAGATCAGAGGCCACCTACCCACAGACGCTTGTCCCGTAGCATGACAAGGACCAGGATGAGCTGCAGCAGCACCATCGTGATTGCCACCAGCTCACCCGTGGTGAAGATGTTGAGGAACCCCATGGCACGGTCCCTTTCACTGGCACAGGCTGCTGAGGAGGATCCCCAGGGACCTGTGGAGCCCTGGTGAAGGGCCCCCAACCCGGCTGGGGTGGCAGAGGCCCTGGTGGTGCCAGTCTGCAGTGTCACAGCATCCCATGGTCCCTTTTATACCCAGCAGGTGGGCAGAGGCCCCTTTGTGACAGTGTGGGGCAGCGAGAGCCCCTGTGTGACATCACAGGACGGGCAGAGACCCCTGTGTGACATCTGAGTGCCACCTGGCAAAGGGGACATGCCCATGTGCCTGGCTATCGAAGTGGAGCCGCCCAGGAGCACACAGGTGGTGCTGGGCAGGTGCAGCCCCCATGGCAGCTCCCCACGCAGTGCCAGGAGCTCCAGAATTGTTCCCAAGGCTCATCCAGAGCTGCTGGGACATCCTGTTTTCTCCTGCAGGACTTCAGGACATCCTTGTCACCTCCTGCTTTGCTGCCCCTTCTTCCAAAGGCCATCCCTCTCAATTCCTGCTGCCTCTGTCCTTGCTTCTCTGAGAATCCAAAACTCCTCCTTTGGTGGTGGCTGTGCCCAGGAGAGCCTCCCCCATCACCACATCCACCAGTCCTAGAGAGTTTATCTTCCCTTCCCTTCCCTTCCCTTCCCTTCCCTTCCCTTCCCTTCCCTTCCCTTCCCTTCCCTTCCCTTCCCGGGCCAGGCCAGGGTTCCCCGAGGGGCCAGGCTGCCATGGGGCAGTGGCTGCCACAGGCTGGGCTGGGTGGGCACAGATGGACCAGGGGACCAGCCTGCCCTGGCCAGGGTAGGCAGCAGCTCCAGAGCTCCCACTGGGCCCCGCACTCCTTCCCATGAGGAGCCCCCCACCCCTCTCATGAGGAGCCCCCCACCCCTCTCATGGGGAGCCCCATCCCTCCCAGCGCTCAGGGCCTGACCCCCCATCCCTCCCAGGGCCACCCTCCCTGGGGCAGCACCCCTGTCCCAGGCAGCAGGGACAGGACACACATTCCACGGTTTATTTCCATTTTGGTGCATTTCCTCCGTTTATTTCCAGTTTGGAATTTCTCAGGTGCGGGATGCCACGGGGGGATGTGGGTGCCCACTCTGGTACAGTGGGACAGGCGCTGTCTGGGGCACCCTTTCCCCAGGGATGGAGCAGCTCCCTCCCTGCAGCTCTGGGGGGGGACCAGGGGCATTTGTGTCACCCTCACCCACAGCCCCCGCCATCCCTGGGGGTCGCAGTGCTGGGCCCGCAGAGCCATCAGGCAGCGTTGCCCAGGACCAGCACGCTCATGAGGAAGACCATGAGGAAGAAGACCCACATGAAGAAGCGGTCCATCACCTTGGCCACCTTCTTCCACTCGCCCGTGCGGCGCTGGTTGGCGCGGTGGCGGCGGAAGCAGCCGGCGATGTACCCGACGTCCCTCAGCAGGCCGTCGTGGTGGCACAGGCAGTGGTCCCAGGGGCAGCCCCGCACCTCCGTGCCCGCCTGCCCGTCCCCGGGGCTCTCCCCCGCTGCCCTGGCTTCCCCCGGGGCTGCGCGCCCGCCCGGCGCCCGCTGGGGGCTCTTGCAGCTCTCGCCCACCTCGTAGACGCAGCAGAGCCGGGCCAGGTGGTGCAGGATGAGCCGGCGCGCCCAGGGCGGCACGGGCCGGGCCCCCGGCCCGCAGTGGTGCACGTTCATGATGAAGATGGTGAGCGCCGTGGAGGCCGTGATCATGGTCATGGTGGCGATGTAGTACTTCCCTGCGGGGGCAGCGGCGCTGGCAGGGGGCACCGGGGCTCCCGCTGCCCCCCGTGCCCAGCCCTGAGCCCAGCCCTGGCCCCGAGCCCGGCCCTGGGCTCACCGATGAGCGGGACGCTCTCCGAGGGGGGCATGCTCTCGGCCACCAGCAGCTGGAACACGGTGAGGGCCAGCAGCACCGTCACCCCCAGCGACACCTTCTCCCCCGAGTCGGCGGGCAGGTAGAAGCCCAGGGGCGCCAGGAAGGAGACCATGATGCAGGGCAGGAGCAGGTTGAAGATGTAGAAGGAGGCGCGGCGGCGCAGGAGCAGGGTGTAGGTGACGTCGGGGTAGGGCTCGGAGCAGCAGCCGTAGGTGATGACATTCCTGGTGGCCGGCATGCCCAGCACCTCCCACTCCACGTTCTCCACGAAGTCCGTCAGGTCCCCGCTGTCCAGCTGGTTGCGGAGGTCGATCTGGTTCCCGTTGTGGGTCCAGGAGCCGAAGGTGAGGCGGCACTGCTGCCCGTCGAAGGGGAAGTAGGACACGTCCACCTTGCAGGAGCTCTTGGTGATGGCGGGCGAGTCCCAGGTGATGTGCCCGTCGGAGCGCAGCACCACGTTGGTCTCCATGGAGCCGCCGAAGTGCTCGTCGGCGCTGGGCACGGAGGGAGGGGTCCCCGTGGGGCCGCATCCCCTCCCTGTGCCCCCTGCAGCCCCTGGCTGTCCCCTCGCTGCTGGGCTCAGTCCCAGGCACACCCGGCACCCCCGCCCCACATCTCCCTGCATGTCCCCCTCCAGGACCCTCCTGCTCGCCCCCCGAGGCTGGCAGCACCCCCGCAGCCCCCAGCCCCAGCCGGGCCCCCAGCCCCGGGAGCAGCCGGGGGGACCAAGCACAACGCACTTGTTGTAGAGGATGATGTCCGGCCGCCAGACGTAGCTGCTGGGGATGCGGATGCTGTCGATGCCGCCGTACTCGTCCTTGTCCCAGGTGAGGTGCGCGTCCAGCCAGGTCTGGCGGACCCACAGGTAGGAGGTGAGCACCTGGTTCCTCTCGTCCTGCCGAGGGGAGAAGGTGGGCGTGGGGGAATGGACCCCGAGGCCGCCCCGCTCCCCTCGGCCCCCGGCCCGGCGGCCTCTCCGGGTGCCCCGCGGAGCTGAGCTGGGTTCGGGGGGCCCGTGCTGGTTTTGGGGGGGGGACCGGGCTGTCTGCAGAATGCTCTGAGCTGACCCGAGGCCACCGGGGCTGCTTCGGGGGCGGATCCGGGCTGGTTCCAGGGGCTGAGCGTCGGCGCGGGGTCGAGCCGGACCCGGGGCGGGCAGCGGGGCGCGGGGCCGGTGCCGTGCCCGGCGCTCACCATGTCGATGATCTGGGCCAAGGTGACCTTGAGGGTGACGTTGAGAGCCCGGTCCGTGTCCTCCACGGGGCGCAAGGCGCTGGAGTAGTTGGCGAAGAGGTCGTGGAGCAGTTTGTAGGAGAACCTTCCCGGCGCCGCCCGGCAGCCTGGGGACACGCGGAGCGGGGCTCGGAGGGGCCGGGCTGCAGCCGGAGCCCCCCCGAGGGATCCCCAGCACCCGGCCGCGGGACCCTCCGGCAGCTGGGAGGGACAGGGAGCACGGCGGGACCCCCGGGATCCCCCTCACCGCCAGCCCGAGCCCCCCGCCCCGGGATTCCCCGTGTGCGGGGCGATGCTGCCCCGGGGACCGGGGGTCCGCGCCCCTGGAGCCCCCCTGCTCACCCGGGGCCGGGAGGAGGCCGGCGAGGCACAGGGCGAGGCACAGGCGAGCTCCGGGCTCCATCCCGCCGCAGGTGCGGGGACACGGGGGGGCGGCTGACGTCAGGGCGGGGACAGGGCGGGGGGGCACGGCCCCCAGGCACCCACGGCGAGGGGCTACGGTGGGCGACCTCTGCGGGGCCCGGCTGGGAGCGGGCACGGGCCGGGACGGGCCCCGGGTGCAGCCGAGCCCCTTCGGGGATGGGTCTGGGGGGCGCTGGTGGCAGCCACGCGGTGCCTGTCGCTGTCCGCACCGGCCCCAGCCCGAGGACACGGGGGCACCGCAACTGCGACACGGGGACACCGCAACTGCGACACGGGGACACCGCACCCGCGACACCGGGGACACCGCGGAACTGAGGGCGGCTGGTGCAGCTCCGGGGCGGAGTGACCGCCCTGCACAGCAAGGGAGCAAGGGATATCCCGCTCTCCGGGCTTGGGAAAGAGCGAGGGAAGAGAAGGGGCAGATGGTTCCCGTTCGGTGGGAGGAAAACCCGGCAGGCTGAGGAGCCAGGAGATGAAGCAGCGAGGGGCAGCGGCGCCGGGCTCGGGGGTGCCGGAGCATCCCCAGCTCCAGCCCCGGGGAATCCGCCGGCTCCGCTCCCCCGGCGCCTCCTGGCACCTTTCCCACGCCGAGCCCCGGCGGCAGATGCCGAGCGGTTTTGAGGCCGGAGGTTTTGTTTCCAGGCGGTGAATTATTCATCCCAGCCCGTGCCGCCCGGGCCGGGCCGCTCAGGCCCAATTACAGTAATGGAAGGAGGCGAAGCCGCAGTGACCCGGCCCCTGCACACAGCGAGTGTCACCTGAACGAGCCACCCGCCAGGGACAGGGACACCTCCCACTGTCCCAGGTGCTCCCAGCCCCAGTGTCCAGCCTGGCCTTGGCACTGCCAGGGATGCAGGGGCAGCCCCAGCTGCTCTGGGCACCCTGTGCCAGGGCCTGCCCACCCTGCCAGGGAACAATTCCTCATTGCCAAGATCCCACCCAGCCCTGCCCTCTGGCACTGGCAGCCATTCCCTGGGTGCTGTCCCTGCAAGCCTTGTCCCCAGTCCCTGTCCAGCTTTTACAGGAGCTCCTTTCAGCACCAAAAGGCCAAAATCTGGTTTATCTGGGTTGCCCACACTCTGTCCCAGAGATAAGTGATGTTTCCTCCCGAGATCCTGAAGGAGCCTACGCTGATGAGCACCGAAGGCAAGGTGGGATTGTATCAGTCATTCTGGGGCTGTCCTTACCCCCCACCCAGCCATCCCGGAGTGACACAGCAAAGGACACACACCTCCAAACCCTGCCTTAAAAACCACAGGAACCCATGGGAGTACTATAAACATTTTATTTGTGGTTTTCAAAAAGACAGGAAAATAATCTAGAGCATTTATTTATATTTTTTTCGATAAAAACCTTTCGATACTCCTCATGCATGAAGACCTTGGGCGCGCACCCCGGGGCGGTGCCGGGCGCTGGGCAGGGCGCGGGGCGGGCACGGAGCCGTGGCCCAGCGGGCGGCTCTGCCTCGGCCACTTGTGCCGGGGTGAGCCCTGCAGGGCGCTCAGTGCGCGGCCAGGGCCAGCTCGCGCAGGTAGGCCTGGGTGAGGCCGCGCAGCTCCTCCAGCGCGTAGTCCTCGGGCATGGGCAGGCGGCCGATGTGCGGGGCCAGCAGGCGCAGGGGCACGCGCGGCTCCGCGGGCTCGGGGCCCGCCTCGGGGCCCTGCTGCAGGCTCAGCACCGCCCGCAGCACGTTGGCCACGCGCTTCGCCATGTCTGCAAGAGCGGGACACAGCGCTGCTGTCACGGATGGGTTTTGTGAGAAATGCTTTTGCTAGGATCTTTGCTCCTGAGAAGCTGAGAGGCCTCGGGAATGAAATGCGAACAATAATTATCTGCTGCTGTGGAATGCAACAGGTGCCTCTTTGATTGGTCTCGTGTGGTTGTTTTTAATTAATGGCCAATCACAGTCCAGCTGTCTCGGACTCTGGTCAGACACAAGATTTTCTTATCATTCCATTCCTTTCTTCTATTCTTTTAGTATAGTTTTAGTATAACATTTTCATTTAAGATAATATATATCATAAAATAATAAATCAGCCTTCTGAAACACAGAGTCAAGATTCTCATCTCTTCCCTCGTCCTGGGGACCCACAAACACCACCACACTCGGTGTGTGCTCCGCCCAGGAGCGCTGCAGAGCAAACCCAGCTGGGATTGATGGGGCGTTGAAAGGGAAGGCACTGGATGTGCTGTCCTCTTTCTGTTCCCTTCCTCAGCACAGGCATGCAGCCACAGGGGGAGAGCAAACAGCCTCAGGCTGTGCCAGAGGTCTAGGTTGGATACTGAGGAAAAATTCTTCCCCCAAAGGGTTTAGGAGGCTCAGCCTGCAGAAAAGGAGCCCGAGGGGGGACCTTCTCACACTCCTCAACTCCTTGGCAGGAGGAGGGGGGGATTGGACTCTGCTCCCAGGGAACAGGGACAGGAGGAGGGAGAACAGGCTCAGGCTGGGCCAGGGCAGGCTCAGCTTGGATATTGTGACAATTGCTTCCCAGACAGGGCTGTGCAGCCCTGGCACAGCTGCCCAGGGAGGTGGTGGAGTGCCCATCCCTGGAGGGATTTCACAGCCCTATGGATGTGACACCTGGGGACATGGGTCAGTGGTGATCCTAGCAGTGCTGGGGAATGGCTGGACTGAAAGGTCTTTTCCAACCTAAAAGATTCTGTGAGTCAGGGATACAGCTGCTGCCCAGGTGTCCCAGGGAGCTGCTGGACAGGGTGTCAGCATACCTGACTGAGCCAGGCGGTCCTTGGCCGTGTGGCACTGCAGCTGCTCTATCCTGTTGCACAGGGACGTCACTTTGGTGTGTAACCGCTCCAGCTCGTAGGTGGAAACATCCAGCTGGAAGAAAACACGGGTCAGCTCCAAGGCCAAACTCACCCACCAGGTGACACTACACCAAAACCTGCCTGAATTCACACCAGAGCACGCAAAGGGGAAGCCTGGACAGGAACGTGGGGGAATGGACTTGGAGATTGCTGGGTTTGTCCCATTCCTTTCACTTGTCACTGTCACAACCCACAGGACAGAGCCCTCCCCTGGCTGTGACAGCAGATAGCAACGCCTGGTTTTAGAGATGTCCCACGTTCTGTTTGAAGCGCCTGCCAAAGAGAAGCACCAACTCCCCCTCAACAGCCAGTGAGAGTGTCAGTGCAGCCCCTGTGTGAGCTGCCAAGGCACGGAAGGCAGCTGCCCTACCTGCTGAATCCTGTCCAGCATCTCGTTGACACGGATGTAGTCGAGGTAGACCAGCCCCGCCAGCTCCCAGTCCTGGATGAGCGCGCTGCGCTCCGGCGGCGCCAGGTCCTCCAGGAACCCCTTCAGGTACTTGTAATTCTCGTTGATAATTGCATCTGCAGAGAACTGGGGTTAGGAACAGAGGCCACCCCATCTCCACAGAGCAGGGACAGAGGGCCACTGCTGCCCTTGTCCCCAGACACCCCCGTGCTCCAGGAAGGTGGGGCTGTGCAGCAGGGAAAGCACTGCCCTGCTTCCCTGTTTGCCCAGGAAAAGCACCACACCAGGTATCCAGGGAGAGCTGGTTTGGAACTGCCAGGCCCTCTGTGCTAACTCTGCTGCTCCAAACCCAGCCTGATCCCTTCATTCGCCGCCCCATGGCTTGGAATCATGGAGTCACTCATGGGTTTGGGCTGGGGGGGACCTTAAATATCATCCAGTCCCACCTCCTTCCACTTGTCCCGGGTCCTTCTCCAGCTCTCCTGGAGCCCCTTTAGGCCCTGGCAGAGGCTCTGAGCTTGAGGTCTCCCTGTAGCTTTCTCCTGTCCAGGTGAGCCCCCAGCTCTCCCAGCCTGGCTCCAGAGTAGAGGGGAGCCCACTCCCACTCCTGCCACGCCTTTGTGTGCTGCTCAAAGTTCAGGACGCAAGAGGAGCAGCAAGACCCACCTGAGGCCAAGTGCCTGACGACCAGCTTGTGGCACTGGTTCCAGTGGCCAGCCTTGAAGAGGAACAGGGCCTCTTTGTGCTTGTCTCCCTCCATCCTGGCCCGGACGGCCTTGGCCTCGTGGATCCAGCGCGGGGGCACGCACAGGCGCTGCGTCAGGAAGCTCTCCTTGGCCCAGCCCTCGGGGCCCTCGGCCAGCGCGCAGTGCCGGCCCAGCAGCTCCCGCACCGCCTTCTCACGGACACTGCGGGGCACGGGGCAGCCGTCACTGCTCCTGCCAGCCCCACAGGAGCAGCACACTGCAGGACAACGTGGCCTTCAGGAGCCTCCCACCCCACACCCCTCTGCGATCCTGGGATTTCCCTAAGTGGCACAAAGCCTCCGGGAGCACAGCTCCAGGTGCGAGAAGCCACTACAACCACAGCTCTTTAGGACTGACCCCAAGTTATTGCAAGGCCCAGGACAGTCACACAGGGTCTGTCATTGTGTGTCCAGCCCAGGACAGTCACACAGGGTCACACTCACAGCCTGTCCAGCCCAGGACAGTCACACAGGGTCACACTCACAGCCTGTCCAGCCCAGCACAGCCACACAGGGTCACTCAGGATGTGACCAAGCCCACGACAGCCACACAGGGTCACTCATGGTATGTCCAGCCCAGGACAGCCACCCAGGGTCACTCAGGATGTGACCAAGCCCAGCACAGCCACCCAGGGTCACACTCACAATGTGTCCAGCCCAGCACAGCCACCCAGGGTCACACTCACAGCGTGTCCAGCCCAGCACAGCCACCCAGGGTCACTCACTGTGCGTCAGGCTCGTGCAGCATCACGAACACGGCCCACTCCCACAGCCCCTCGCTCTCCAGCTGGGCAGCATAGCTGGTGTTGAGCACTCCCCAGCTCTGCTGGGACAGGTGGCAGTAGTTCAGGGCCCTGAGCACCTCCCACAGGTGCCAGCTGAGGCGGAAATCCAGCGGGTCAGAGGTGACACTCCTGGGATCCAGCAGCTGGTCAAGCTCGTAGGACCTGCAGAGGAGAAGTGGTAACTGTGAGAGCTGGTTGTGCCCACAAATCACATC